ATTTATCTCTTTTCTATCTTTAAATTGTAGTCTGCTGTAGAACTCTCACAAATTATCTTCGAATACTGACAAGTCCCCTTTTGGTCTTGCTTTCTGGATTACCATAAAGTGTCTCCGAATACTGTTGTTCCTGTAAAGACAGGTGGCAGTTCCAGCGGGACCTCTAAGGCCGTGACGAACGCAGCACAGGAGCAAAGGACCAACGCTATAGTAAGACTATTTCCTGGTCATCCCTGCGAGAACAATCGCAGACTAGACCTGTTAGGTGGGGAGACGTAAAATACCATAGGAAAAGAAAAACTGATTACAAACCTTATTAGATGGAACTTCTTAGTGTGGGGACCAGTGATCCTCTAAGGAAACGAAAACCCTCACATAAAACCTTCCTTCAGGGTACAGTGGTTGGATCTCGTGTCAATCATTTACACATCGTAGAGGAATTCGACTACAGAAATCTCACCACCAAGAAGCCTAATGTGCCACGATCAATGTCAATAGCCTATAGCAGCATTTCAATAAATTTCACTAGATATAAATGCTTTTGTAACTGAAAAATCCCACAGTCAAAGTAAATGCATTTCCATACACATATTTATATGCATCTATTTTTAGATATATGCAGCGCGATCGTGGCAAACAGTGGAATTGCCAAATCTATTTCAACTTCCGGTCCATTATGTTTTGTTCACTGAGCGCTAATGCTCCTAGGAAAAAATATGAATCTATCTGCCTCAAGCTATAGATTAAATAGTAGGGTAGAATGTGATTTGTAACCTTGCGTGGTAGCCAGAAGAAAAAAAAATTGAAAACAAAACATCCTGATTTGCTCTATGTTCTTGAAAAAAAAAGGAAGCTAGGAAATAGATCCAACAGGGATCCGGTGTGAAGATTCAAAGACGGTTGAGTGAGGAACAGCATCACCTTGCCGCTATTCCTGCAACTGCACCGGTGAAAATCTTCATTGCTTTACTCCTTCGTTTGGAGTTTAAGGACAACGCTATTGGAAGATATTGATGAATGGCTAGCCCAAGATTGTCAACGGCCGGAGTTCATAGCAGTTTGTGCTACTCCATTTTCTTCCCAGACGGGTGGCAGTCAAATCATACATACATATGTACATATATATACAGGAGGATCTTTTTAAAAAAATTCTGAATTTCATGTAACTACAGAACATTTTGCTTTTGTTTATCATCCTTTACCTTGATGAAGTCAAATGACGAAACGCGTCGGCAAAGACGAAATATTATTTTCCGATTGTCTATTTTATTCAATTTGTCTTTTCTATAGATTTATTCTGAGAAATGTAACACACACACACATACACACACTAAAGCCACTAACAAGCAAGGGGGCTACTGACTGTTTGAGAATATGAGAAATATATATTATTAAGGAGAGAGGACAATAAAAGAAGAATAATTAAGAAGACGGAAGATGACGATTGACATTGCATTTAATTTTTTGAAGATCGAAGTTCACTGAAAAGCAATAAGCCGGAAGATACGTATAAACCATCTCTTTGGGAAAAGATTTCTCAAAATTCCACTGCAAAATCAAAGTAACTTAACTTTTGAAACTGTTTGCAATGACTAAATAAACAAAAGATGGAAGAATCTGCAAATTTCAACCAATAATGATGCTTACGAATAATTGATTTGGAAACATTTACAGAGAACTAACATTGTATATTCATATGTGGTTAGTAGTGCATCATTATGGAACTGCCTGGCATGATAAAGTCAAAGAATCTCCTTAGAATTAGACCTAGCAATTAACATAATCATTCCACTTCATGTCAGTAGGACGCGCAATGAGTTGCTCTCCTGGTGGTTAGCATCAGCCATATCGACGGAGAGCAAAAATGGGTCTCTATGATAATTCAAAATAGTATTTTCGTTTCTCGGTCATGTTTCCAATGAAACATAACCCAGTTCATATGTTGGTACTTCGTATGTTTATTCCACGAAATCGTTCCTTGCAGATTGAGCACAGATTCTAGATTGGATTTAAATCAGGCGAGTTTTCGGGCCAATCTATAGTACTTTGATTTGCTCACTGGTAAGGCTGCCAATGCGTTCGTGCAGCGTTGTAATTTTCGTACGCTTCATTGTCCATCGCAGACAATGGCCGTAAGAAAACTAATCGACAGTCGAGGCAGTAGGGACTGAGCGTGATGAAAATCCAATGCAATCACGGATGACACATTTTTTTTTCAAGGCCAAATAAATTTCATCACATACCCTGAAAAAAGTTTCCTATTACTGCACGCCATTGCAAATGACCTAATATGAGGAAAAATAAAAATCGATTACATCCTGGATATTCAGTGGGTCTAAAACTGACCGTATGGTGAAAGAAAGAAAACTAAAGCGTTTTTTTTTTCAATTAATTTACACTAGGGTATATATCTTTTCTACTTCAAATCTTTTCTTCATCTATGAGGATTATTGCTCAGAACCCACTGATATGTAGGAAAATTGATACTATAAAGAAGGTCAACAATCTTTTCTTTATTGCTATCGACATTTCCATCCTTCAGGACTCCTATTTGGCGTTTTGGTATGTGTTCATTCCTGAATTCAATCACTGTTTTCACTTGCACAACTTGTTTTTAATATGTATTGTGAATGTTTAATTCTCAAGGCCTTCTTTCCTCATATTAGGTTTCAGAAATGTCAGGCGTCTATTTTGCATTGTTAGCAACAAGTTTTCTTCATAATCCTCAGATTGCTTCTTTTCACATCCTGTCCCGATAATATTCTCGACATTCGTCGATGGAGCCATATCTGCTATTTCAGAAAAGCATTATTCAGGTAATTATTCTATCTATCTATCTATCTATCTATCTATCTATCTATCTATCTATCTATCTATCTATCTATCTATCAGATTCCTTATCTATCTATCTCAGTTTATATCTATCTATCTATCTCAGTTTATTTATATCTATCTATCTATCTATCTATATCTATCTATCTATCTATCTATCTATTTAGTCTGTTCACATCTATCTATCTATCTATCTTAGTTTGTTTATATCTATCTATCTATTTAGTCTGTTTCACATCTATCTATCTATCTATCTATCTATCTATCTATCTATCTATCTATCTATCTATCTATCTATCTATCTATCTATCAGATTCCTTATCTATCTATCTATCTATCTATCTATCTATCTATCTATCTATCTAGTCTGTTCACATCTATCTATCTATCTATCTATCTATCTATCTATCTATCTATCTATCTATCTATCTATCTATTTAGTCTGTTCACATCTATCTATCTGGCGGTGGAATAGAAACTCGCGTACGTGAAAGACAGGATTTTGAAACGGCGGAATAAATGTCATTTTTGTGATGCATTTGAATTCATGGATGACATATTTTAGGCAATTTATTTCAAACAGGACCTAAAAATAAAGCGAAAGAAAAAAATATTAATCGTAATACGCAGAAAAAAGAATAATAAAAATAGAAACAAGCGAATGACAAGTTTTTTCCCCGCATTCTGAAATTTTTACTTCTTGAGTTATTTTCCCAGCGGCGTGTCTAAGAAGTCGAGCAAACGGCATTTTTTTTATTGTCGCCATTTTTCTCTTAAAGTCGAAATCGGTATGAGCAGCCCAACAGTTAAAATAGCAAAAAAGTGTTCTATCTACACAGACAAGTCAATAGCTAGCTAGCTAGATAGATAGATAGATAGATGAAGAGATTGAGATAGATAGATAGATGAAGAGACTGCGGTAGAGAGATAGAGAGATAGATAGATAGATGAAGAGGTTGAGATAGATAGATAAATGAAGAGACTGGGATAGATAGATAGATGAAGAGATTGAGATAGATAGATAGATAGATAGATAGATAGATAGATAGATAGATAGATGAAGAGACTTGGATAGATAGATAGATAGATGAAGAGACTGGGATAGATAGATAGATAGATAGATAGATAGATAGATAGATAGATAAGGAATCTGATAGACAGACAGCCAGATATTAACAAAGAGAAAGATAGATAGACATATAAATACATAAGAAATCTGAAATGGATACATAGCTAGCTATTCCCCCATTCTACACACACACACACACACACACACACACACACACATATATATATATATATATATATATATATATATATGAAGAAATATATATGGGATAAAGTGCTCAATATCAGAGATAGAGCGCATGTAAATATAAATATAAAGTGAACATTGAAGTTAATAATCAGAGAGATTGCGTCTATCATGAAACAGCCTGTCGCCTCTGATTGTTGACTTCAATGTTCACTGATATATATATATATATATATATATATATATATGGGAGAGAGAGAGGGGGTATAAAGAAACTAAAAGATAGATAGATAGATTGATAGATAGATAGATAAATAGATAGATAGATAGTCTCAGACTGATACAAATGAAGAGGGGCTGTTACATCAGTATGAACAGACTTTCGACAGAGAAACGTATATGGATGTAGATACAAGCAGACTAAGAACAGACCTTGATTCCCAATAATGCTATCGTTTGATTCATCTTCAAATATGGACAGCACGGATGTAGCTTTCTATTCCTGCTAGGGTCTTACATTGCCTTGAACGGATGTGGCAACGTTGGACGTCTTTTGCAGTAGTTACATAAATGTTGTATAATGAGTAATGGCTGCCGTCTTCAATGTTCATTTTAGGCTTATCGTACTTAGACACATTCATTACAACTTAGATTAACTTCTGAGACAATATTTTCAGGGAAATTAACTTGAAGTCTTTTATGAATATAGATCTTGAGATTTCCGTGTCTAACATGATTCTGTCCAAAGAGCCTCTTATGATTGTACACTGCTTGCATCCCGTAGGAACGCCCGAGAGATGAGGTCTTTCCAGTTGTTTCGCACGATGCTGGCTTTCTGTAGTGCGTTTTTTGATGCAATCTTTATATCTTTATACATACACAGATGCATATATACAAATATTTGCATTCACGTATGTACGCGTTTTTTCCTCTCAGTTTTGTTATTATTTTATAAAAATATTTTTACCGATAGATTTCCAGTTCTTTTTTATCAATAATGTTGTTCCATCATATGATATTTTCCCCCTTTCTTCTTTCTTTCTTTTCATCACATCCTATTTCAACCATACTTCCTAGGCTTTCAACACTCGACCACGTGATCTGTCACTTTTTGCTACAACTAGCAACACGCGAGAAGTATTTCCCACTCCCCAACCTATAACTCCCTTCATCAACGTTTAGAATCTCACTCTTTCCCGTCACCCGCCAGTAACAATAGATCTGCCTAGCACTTTTATACCGATGAAAATTTAAAATTTAAGTTAATTTTTATATAAAAAATACGCACTTCGAGTGATTAGACAGAAATCTGGCTTTGCTTAAAATAGGATTTCCACCTGAAAATACAGTTGAATTGTTGTGTCGAACATGATAGCCATGACAGTCACATCTTTTGTTTCATTTTCCCGTTGTATAACCCTCATAAATCAAGTTACGATTGCTACATTGTCGAAATATTTCAAATAGGAATCAGTTATCACCTACTGACAAATGGTAATTTTGGCGATGGCATTAACAGGACATGTATTATCTTTTCTTAATTCTCGCTCTTCTTCGAGGGTTACAAAATATTGGAAAAGTTTCGTTAATCATTTTATTTATTACTAGCAGTAGAGCCCGGCGTTGCCTGGGGATGTAACAGTAAGAGATAGATCAAGTATCGACCATCATAAAGACTGAAAAATAAAATTGATAAAGATTATTGTTTAATGTTGACGGACACGCATGTCTTAATTATTTTTTTTTTTTTTTTTTTTTTACGAATTGGTCAAACCCCAAACTCAAACAAAAACATTGTTTTCAATCGTTATGAGTCTACCGATTGAATTGAATTTTATTATAAACAATTGTCTTGTAAATGGAATTTTTAAAGCATTCTGAATGTAAAAATAAATAAAAAAGTGTGCAAAACACTACCTGCCAAAAAAAGTGAAGTTTTGTTGAAATCGGTTGAAAAATGTAGGAAATCTGATTCCATATATAAAGGAACACACACAGACACAAACAACCTAGGTTTTATAATAAGTATAACTCGATATGAGTTGTCCCCCTTTCATTCTGGCGACAGAATTGTGTTTTATCGTGTTTTCAAATTGATTTCATGCAAAAACAATTGTGTTTTTCCAATTTTTGGCGCTGTCAGAACCACCGCAAGGTAATTTTACGTACTCCTGTGAAGTTTTGTTGAAATCGGTTGAAAAATGTAGGAAATCCGATCCAATATATAAACGTACAGACACACACAATCTGCGTTTTATAATACGTAAGATTATTATTATTATTATTATTCGTAGTAGTAGTAGTAATAGTAATAGTAGAAATACTTCTGAAAACTTCACCGTTTTTCTAATTTAATTTTCTGAGATATCTTAATTCTTCAATTAATGATTAAATATGTTCATGGAGGGTTCTACGATAATAAAATATCCGTAGAAGTTGCCTTATCACTTCGTACATGAGCTGTTCCAAGCAGTACTTATATTGATTTTCCAAGCATATCTTGATTGTGGCACAAGGCCGAAAGTACGGGGCACCAAGTGGGTATCGAACTCACTACTCAGTCGTAATTGTTCTAGCGAGAGAAGTTTGTTAACCATTACAACGCCTCTCAGTTGCCCCCAAGTAGTACTTATATATTTGAGATTCCTTCCTGGTTCTTCAATATTTCGGTCGAGTGATGATTATCCTATCTTAGCTCCGATCCGCAGCTGAGAGACAGAGTACTTTCCTCAGTACATGAATTGTTTCAAGTATTACTGGCACTTGTGCATGACGCTTGATGACAAGTATCAACAAGGCGTCTTGCCAGACAGAAATATTCTTACAAATAGACTCGTGAATTAAACACAAAAGGGACAAATTGAACTCCTGTCTGGTACATTTCTTTAATTTGCCCTGCCAGGCTTTTGAATTTTTGTATTTTCGCTGGCTCACCTTCATGATGTCCTTCACAAAAAATATCCGTAGAAATTCCCCTGTCACATTATTAAATGTTTGAGCTTAACAACTTTAACAAAATATTGCAATAACAATCAAAAATATGAATGCTGGTCGTTATTTTAAGAAGTGGATAGAAATGAAAAGATTTGAAAATAAAGTTTCCTTAAAACAGCGTTTAAACAATTTCTTTCTTTCTTTCTTTCTTTCTTTCTTTCTTTCTTTCTTTCTTTCTTTTACTCCTTCCTACTCAATAATACACTCTTTCTATCTTTTTCTCAGTCTTCCTTTTTATCTTCTATTCTTTCTTTCTTTCTTTCTTTCTTTCTTTCTTTCTTTCTTTCTTTCTTTCTTTCTTTCACTGAAACCAAGTAGCGTCTCTGATATGCCTTTTGTTTTTCCATGCAATAAAAACGGAATAGTCAACTAATTTTGAGGTATTGGCAGGAGACGTTAAACACTTCTGTCTTCGCTTT